AGGAATTGGAACCATGGTGAGAGGAGTGTTGGATGGTGACAAATGATCCAGTGGGACAGTTGGTGTAATGCTGGATAAAGGCTCACTGTCAGAAAAGGGAAAAACCTCATCATGAAAAACAACATCTCTGCTTACAAAAAACCTGTTAAGTTGTGGATCATATAATCGGTACCCTTTCTGAAGCATGGGGTAGCCCATAAAGATACATATGGTGGCACGGATAGTAAACTTGTCACGGGGTCCCACAGTGGTTGAGTAACAAAGACACCTAAAAACTAGTAGATAAGAGTTATCAAGTTTCCTTCTAAATAACAATTCAAAAGGAGTTTTACCTCTAGGAACCCATGTAGGCATGCGATTAATAAGATAAGTAGTAGTGAACACACGTTCGCCACTAAAGGTGGCTGGGATTTGGGCTTAGAGTTTAAGGGCCTGGGCTACTTCAAGGAGGTGACAGTGTTTTCTTTCAGCAAGCCCATTTTGTTGAGGGGTATAAGTACAAGAGCTTTCATGGAGAATCCCATGGGAAAGAAATAAATCGGAACACTGTTTGTCGAAAAAGTCTAAGGCATTATCAGTCCCAACCCTTTGAACTCGTCGTTGGAATTGTGTTTGGACCATGAAGAGGAAATTTTGGATGTGGGTGAATGCTTGGTTTTTAGTTTGCATGAGAAAGATCCAGGTTCCTTGAGAAAAATCATCAACTATGATGAGGAAAAACCTGGATCCATCATGATTGGGAGTAGAATAGGGGCCCCAGATATCAAGGTGAATGAGGGCAAAAGGTGTTTTCGTGGATGATGTGCTTATTGGAAAACATATCCTAGGTTGTTTAGCAATGAGAAGAATTGGACAATTTTGCTGAAGGATAGAAGCACTGCGACCCAATTGATTATGAAAAATAAGAGATTCATTATTAATATTGGCATTACAATAACTGTCTTTATTTGTAATGAAATCTATAAGAAAAACATCAGAAAAGGGCTCCTAGTAGTATAGGCCATGATGGGCTTTACCCAAGCCTATCTGTTTGCCAGTTGAAGGGTCCTGAAATGTACACATATTAGGGAGGAATTGTAAAGACCAATTATTATCACTGCAGAATTTTGACACTAAAATAAGGTTGAACTGGAAAGTAGGGACAAAAAAGACATTTCTTATAGTGATGGAGTCACTGAGTTTAACTATCCCTGTATGAGTGGCTAGAGTAATATTGTCATTTGGCATTTTAATAGAAGTACCTACATAACTGGCGGAAGCATTGTTGGTAGGAAGTTGGTTCAGCGTCTGGATGAGATGATTAATCTATTCAGGTTTGATGGAGCTTCATTTCCTGTGGTGATAGTCACATTATTAGTTGTGGGATTGCCAATTCTGTCTTTACGTTGACCATGTAGTTTCTACTTTCTAGCACATATCTCGATTATGATTTCTCTCTTTACAGTAGTCACGGTACATTTTCTTACCAGATCGGGATGATCTTGAGTCATTGGATCCAGCATGAAAATTCCTTAGAGATGGACTGTTGGATAAGTTAAATGAGTGGCCTTGGAGTTGACCATTAACTTGGTTGACTAGGTTGGTTGATTTCTGGCTGTTGGATGGCTAGAAGAGATCCTGGCCGTTGGCTTCTTTATATAAAAAACCACTATTTTCTTTTGCAAACCCTAGCCGCCCATCCTTTTTTCCTTCTCTTTTGCTCTCTCCTTTCTCTGTGAAAAAAGCGACAAAGTCACCACGATGCGGTGAATCCATGGAAGCCAGCCTTTGGCTTTCATCCTGAACAGCCAATTGATAGGTCCGACAAAGAGACGACCGGTTAAGTCTTGGTCAACATTTACGTCCGAAAGGGAAAGAAGCTCTCGTTTAATCCAAACAAGAAATGGATTAAACGCTCCTAATCCTTGAGTTGCTAGAATTGTTGTAAGGTTTCTTGTAGACCCTGCAATGGTATGGTGACGGAGTCAAGCTCATTCCACACGGCTGATAGCTAGTTGTAATATGCAGTTACACTTTGATTTTCTTGTTTAATCTCAGCAAGGCTTTGCCAGAGAGTAAACAACTTTGCCAGATGCAGTTGGCCATACATCTCTTTGATGTATCGCCATAATTCCTTGACGATCTCTATAGGTGGCAAGTCGACGGCAACTTCTTAGGTCAGAGAGTTGCTGATCCACAAGCAAACTAACATATTGCACCTAGTCCAATGCTTGTGGAGATGAGGGTCTGTCGGAAAAGCCACGGTTCCATCAAGGAATCCATCCTTGTCTTTGGTTATGAGAGCCCGTCAGAAATCACGAGCCCATGTCATGTAGTTTTCCAATCCAGTGAGAGTTTGCTTGACTAGAACAAGTTTTGGTCCATCGGATGATGGGGAGAAGAGAGCATTGCCAGGTTCCCGTCGATGATGATTTGGCATCACAAATTGGAATTGGAAGGGATACGAGTTTGGGCCAGAACCCGTTTGCCCAAATGGATTTGGGCCAGTTTGGGTCTATGAACCGGTTTGGTTTGACGGCTTGTTTGGCTATTTTGGTTGTATAGGTCCGTTTGTGTGTTTGGGCCTATCGCAGTGTTTGGGTCTATTTGGGTGTTTGGGTTGGATTAAGTGTTTGATGGGTTGGTTGAGTCAAGGCCCATATTTGGTGTGTTGGGTTCCTTTTTTTTTTTTTTTTTTTTCTTGTTTTTGCAGAGGAGAGTAACTAATCTGAGTGTCTGTTTTGCAAGTGAAGCAACAATAGAGGGCAGGATTGATTAGTGAGTTTAAGCAGCAACGAAAGCTTTGCTAGGAGGCATGCTCTGATACCATGTTACAATCTGGAAAGGAAGTGGCAAAAGCAGTAATTGAACTACTGAAGAATGCTTGGAAGATATTAGAGAAGCAAGAGTAGCAACAAATTGCAGAGAATGCCTAAGAGAAATAAAGCAATGTAAAGAAGAATTTCTGTAAAGTGTTGTAATGTATTTCATGTATCAAGGTTACAATTTATACAAGTAGAATGCAATCTTGTAAGGAAACAAATAAATGGAATAATTACATAATCAATATATAGAAGGCAACAATATAATGTTACTAATTACATTTTGATCTTGATCACACCAAATCTTTCACATTATTAGGATGTTGGTTGTGCATATCATCAATCAAATGTCAACAGTTAATGCTAAGTTTAGCACCTTAAGTTGTAAAATCATATATTTTCTTTTGAAAAAATATAAGTTAGGTTATCTGATTTGGTGAGGTCTAATCCGATCAAGCTTTATATACATTTATAAATTTTGGGTCTTGTAGATATTAAATATGTAGAAAATAAACCACCATTGGGTGGCCTAGTGGATAACTAGGACTTTTGGATGTATTACTCAAGAGATCTTAAGTTCGACCTACTTGGGTTACTCATAGTGGTGGCCACTGAGGGGATTTACCCAGCCGTCAACTTTAAAGTCCCGAATGATTAGTTAAGGTGCACATAAATTGGCCCAAACACTCCGGATCACCAAAAAAAAAAAAAAAATATATGTAGAAAATAAATTCTTATTTTCTTAATTAAAGTAAATGATGCTAACTTATATATATATAGTTGGTCTTTTTTTATTCTTTTAAGCAAAAGCTATCAATTCTTGGGATTTGTATTTGTAGCATGATAATTTATGGAAATAACCACTAAAACTGATTTTTATAAGTAGGTTAGAGAAGTTTTAAAATAAAATAAATTAATCAATAATTTAAATTTTTAATTAAATTAATAATTTAATAAATGTCTTTTAAGAAATTAAAAAAGCGATTGAATGTCACCGGTTTACAACTAGACTTGACAAACGGATGGGTTGGGCATATACGGGCCGAATAATGGCGATACAAGTCAAACGGGTACAAAACCTGAGGGTCAAAAATGTGAATGGGTAAAGAAATATACCACCGGTGCCCCGTCATGCGAGTACGGATGAACCTGTGGGTTACCCATTTCCCAAATCTGTTTTCACTTTTTAATTTTTATGTAGCACAACATAAACATTATCAATTTCATCGCGAATTCTAACACACATTGTTTTGGGAAACAAAACAATTTTACTGATCTACAAACCAATTTTACTTATTAACAAAACAAAGTGAATAAATAAAAATTTCTTTCATTTCTTTCTTTATCAGAGTGAACAATCATTACATGTACAAAACCTAAAATTTACACCAGAAATAAAACCTCATAAAATTACCTAAGAAATAAAATCTACAAAATCGACTCTGTTTGTTTAGTTTTTTAGAATAGTATTTTATTTTGAATATGATTTAATCAAATATGATAGGATTCTGAGAATGTGTTTGGTATGTTTTTAGAAAACATTTTTTTGAAAATATTTAGATTATTTTTTAACCCCCTACATTTGTTAATTTAGCTAAACACCCCCTACAATAAAAGTTTATAAATTAATAAAAACACCCTCACCCACCCAATAATTGTCGGTAGTTGACCACCACCATCAGACAGTGACCGAAAGTCGTCCAAATGGTGCACAACCAGTTGGATCTGACGGTTGTGCACCAATCTGGCATTTTTTGGCCAAAGATTTGGCCATTGACGGCCAAACGACGACCAAGATACAGTTGTTGTTTGGCCGTCAACAGCCAGATCTTTGGCCCTTTTTGGCTAGATCCATGGTGGATCTGGCCGGAAACAGATAGATCGACGCATGACCAACCAGATCCAACAAGTCGTGCGACTTCCAGCCACCATCCGGCAATGGTGACCAGTTGCCGACAAAAATTTAGGTGCAGAGGTGTTTTTATTAATTTTAAAACTTTTATTGAGAAAGATAATTATTAAATATTTTGAGTTGAATAGAACATGATTGTATTTTGAAGAATATTAAAACAATCACATCATTTGTGTATTTGTTTTATTATTTTGGATATGATTTTTGAAAAAGTCTTTCATATCAAACCCATAAATGGAGTCATAATATGCATTATTTTCACAAGACAAACTAAAATCAAGCTAGCCATGCCTAAACTTCCCCAAGAAATAATTGAAGATATACTTTCCAGGCTACCAGTGAAGAAGTTGGTGCAGCTCAAATGTGTATGCAAGACATGATTTGCATTAATCTCTGACCCTCAATTTGCCAAACTGCAGCTCAAACAACAAGAAAAAGCAAAGAAAACAACTATTACTAACCTGCATAAACTATTTTTTGCCAATTGGCCGTTTCAAACCATTGATGTTGAGGCGTTTTTTGATGGTGATGGTGATAGTGTATCGCAGCAGGTTGGTTATCCAGCAAGAAGTGTTTCTGAAAATTGGGCAGGTATTGGAGGATCTTGTAATGGATTGGTATTTTTGTTTTGTTATTCTAACGATTTACTTGTGTTAAATCCAACTACAAGAGATTCCAGGGAATTGTCGAAGCCTGACACTACTTTTACTAGTCAAGATTCGGTCTTTTGTGGACTTGGTTATGATGTCCTCATCGACAATTACAAAGTAGTGGGAGGTGTTATCTCTGTAGCTAATAGTGGTTCCAATTCCAAAGAAGCTAAAGTTGAGGTTCTTGAACTGAAAACCAATAACTGGAGAAAAATTTAGTATCCACACTCAATTATTAACATTAATGGACGAGGAGTTCTTTCGAAAGACAATTTGCATTGGCTAGGGACTCGAAAAAGTGATTTGGGATATGTGCGTGTTATAATTTCATTTGACCTAATGGAAGAACGATTCAAAGAGTTCGCGCTAGTGCAGGAATATCATGTATACAATCTGGATTTGGGAACTTTGGGAGACAACCTAGTCATACTTTGTGAACTTGAAGGAACTTTTTATGAGATCTGGGAAATGAAAACAATGGAGTGAAGGAACCATGGACTAGATTGTTTAGGGTCTCAATTGAAATATTTCCTTACTCTGAATTTTGTGTCACTTTAGTAGGCTTCAAAAACGATGGAAAAGTATTACTGGATTTTGATGGAAGGGAATTAGTTATGTACAACACAAAAGAAGAGACCTTAAGAAATTTCCTAATTGATGATGATTGGAATGGTTTTGAAGCAGTCATATATTGTAGTTTTTGAGCTGGAGAATACAAAGGAAACAGATGAAACAATTGCTTTTTAGAGAGAAGTTTTTGCTTAATGTTACGTTGCTTGTTCATTGAAAATGGGTTCAACTTATGCAAAAGGTTTAAGACACCGTTCACCTAAACTTGGAGTGAATATTTTACTAACAATAATTCACCACCACACGATTTTAACCACACACAAACCTTACATTTAACTACCTCTTAATTACAGCTAAATACCTTACTGAATACATAAAAAAACATCAGTTTAGACATCACAAAATCAGCTCCATTCTACTGCTCCCAAGGCTAGTTGCTGTGCTTCTCGTCTTCGACTTCTTCGCATCTTCAGTTAACAAACTTCAGCTGACTTTGTTTCTAGCAAAATATCATCAGCTTCAACACTCCTCCTTGATATTTTTGCTATAGAAACACCAAGTTCAAACCCTAGTTCTTCAAACTTGGACTTGTTCAATGCTTTTGTCATTATGTCAGCCAATTGTTCCTCACTTCTACAATGCACCAGTTTAACTTCTTTAGCTTGCTCAGCTTCCTTCACAACATGAACCTTGATTTTTATGTATTTAGTTCGACCATGTAAGATAGGATTCTTTGCCATAGCAACAATGGATTGATTATCACAATAAATTTCAATAGGCTCTCATTGGTCTAGCTTCAAATCCTTCAAAAGTTTTCTTAGCCAAATGGCATGATTCGCTGCAGTAGCAGCAGAAATACATTCTTCCTCTACAGATGATTATGCTACATTCTCTTGCTTCTTGGAGAGCCAACAAAATGCTCCTGAGTTTAAAGAAAACACATAACCAGAAGTGCTTCTCATGTCATCAAGAGAGCCAACCCAATCACTGTCTGTAAAGCCAACAAGATTGAACTTCTCTGATTTTCTAAACCATATTCCCAAGTCTGCACTTCCCTTTATGTACCTCAACACCCTTTTTGCTGCTCTAAAATGAATCTCTCTTGGTTCATTCATGAACCTAGATAGAAGGCTGGAGGCATACATTAGATCAAGCCTAGTTGTTGTCAAATACAACAAGCAACCTACTAGGTTTCTATACATGGACTCATCAACCTTGCTTGCACCATCTTCTCTACACAACTTTTGGTTTTGCACCAAAGGTGTGCTCACCGGATTGCAATTCTCCATGTTAAACTTCTTCAAAATCTCATTTGCATACTTCCTTTGACACACAAAAATCCCATCTGCCGATTGGTTTATCTCCATGCCAAGAAAGTATGTCATTTCCCCCAAATCAGTCATCTCAAATTCACTTTGCATGGCTTGTTTAAACTAATTCACATGTTTTGCATTGCTTCCAGTAATTAGTAAGTCATCAACATATAAAGAGACAACAATCAGCTACTCTTCAATCTTCTTTACATAAAGTGTATGCTCATTTGGACTCCTTGTGTAGCCTAGGCTGTAAAGATGCTCATTTATCCTGCTGTACCAGGCTCTGGGTGCCTGCTTCAAGCCATACAAGGCTTTATGCAGCAGATACACTTTGTCTTCTTGCTGCTCCAACACAAACCCTTCAGGTTGTTCAACATAAATTTCCTCATCTAACCAGCCATTTAAGAAGGCTGATTTAACATCAAGTTGGAAAATTTTCCACTTGAATTGAGCTGCCAAAGCTAACAAAAGTCTAATGGTGTCATGTCTTGCAACAGGAGCAAAATATATGAAAAATCTACTCCATATTGTTGCACATACCCCTTAACCACAAGCTTTGCTTTATTTTTGTTGATTGATCTATCTGAGTTCAGCTTGGTTTTGAAAATCCATTTCACCTAAATTGTTTTTTCTGTTTTTTGGTCTGTCAACCAATCTCCGGGTTTGGTTTCTTTGGATATTATTCATTTCCTCCCTCATAGCTTCCATCCAATCCCTTGACTTTACAACTTCAACATAGGACATTGGCTCCATCACAACAACATTACACCTCTCATAAACATCTGACAGTAGCCTAGTACCTCTAACTGAGGTTTCTTGATCTACATTTGAGTCATTTTCAAAATCATCTTGACTGCTTGAAACTTCTTTTTGCAGCAGCCTTCCTTCATCTTCAACTTCTTTCTTTTCCCAATTCCAAAAGGATAGCTCATCCACTCTAACATCTCTACTTATCAGAATCTTCTTAGTTTTTAGATTGAAGACTCTTAAGGATTTAGAGTTGCTACTGTATCCAATCAAGATTCCTACTTCAGCTTTCTCATCCAACTTACTTCTTTTACTTGCTGGAATATGAGCATAACACACACTCCCAAAAATTTTATGATTTTCTAGTGAAGGCTTAACTCCATACCAGGCCTCAAATGGAGTTAAATTGTTGAGTGCCCTGGTTGGAAGTCTATTGAGAAGATAGACTGCAGTATTCACAGCCTCTACCCAAAATGATTTTGGCAACTTCTTTTCAAACATCATGCACCTAGCCATCTCCATAACAGTCCTATTTTCCCTTTCGCTAACTCCATTTTGCTATAGAGTATGTGGACTGCTGAATTGGTGCCTTATTCCAGCTCCCCTGCATATCTCTTCAAATTGGTTTGAAGTATACTATGTCCCATTATCGCTTCTAACTAATTTAATGCTCAAACAAGTTTGGTATTCTTCCAACAAATTGAACTTTCTGAACATGGCAGCAACTTCACTCTTTTGTTTTAAAAAATAGACCCAACTCATCCTAGTGAAGTTATCTATAAACAACACAAAATACTTGCTACCGTTCAAGGAAGGAGCCTGCATTGGTCCACAAACATCACTGTGTATCAATTGCAGCTTCTCAACAGCCCTCCATGCTTGATTTTGAGGAAATGGTTGCCTACTCAATTTACCAAGTTGGCAAGCATGACACAAACTCCTCCTTTCTTCTATCTCTAGTACATTCTGAACCAGATTTTTATACTTCATTTCTCTAAGGGCATTGTAGTGAAAATAGCCAAATCTCTTGTGTCATAGTTCAGATTCATCTATGCTAGCGGTATGGGCCTGAAAATCTGGTTTTTTCCACTCAACAGGGAAGTTTTTTCCCATCAGTTTTACTCTTATAAGCTCACTACCATCATTATCTAAGATGATACATGATTTGTTTTGAAAATGTAACACATAATTCTTCTCTAACATTTGTCCTACACTTAACAAACATTGGCTAATTTCAGGAACATACAACACATTTAAAATAAGTTTTGTACCTGTCGAAGTTTAGACTGCTACATCACCTTTTCCCTTGACTTCCACTAGATCTCAATTTCCAATTCTGACTATCGACTGATAACATTCATCCAAGTCAACAAAATTAGTGTGGTCTAGTGTCATGTGATTGGTGCAGCCACTACAATTAGCCAAGTTTCTATGCAGGTATGTGTTGCATAGCAGGAGGCTACAAACAATTGCTCTGCCTCTTGGTTTTGTTGCTGATTCTCCATTACTTGTGCTTGCTGCTCCTGCTAGTTTCCTTTGTTTTTGTAAACCTTCTCAATGTGTCCAAGTTTCTTACATGACCTGCATTGTATCCCGAGCCTAAACCAGTAGCGATTTTTTGCATGGTTTTTCTTTTTGTAGTGAGGACATGGAGGATATCCTTTCTTTCCCCATTGATTGTTAGCCTTTTCCTTTCCCTTCTTATCCTCTTGCATACTTGTTATTTCCTCCCTAAACTGGTTTGCCTTTTAACATTGCAATCATAGCTCCCTCACTGCTATCTTCTTGTCTTAGCAGCCTCCTTTGTTCTTGAGCTTGTAAAGCATGAACAAGCTCTGATAAGGAGATTTGGGACATGTCCTTAGAATCCTCCAAGGATGAGATTTTTGATTCAAACCTTTCGGGAAGACTTACCAACACTTTCTCTACAATCCTCTTGTCTGTCAGTTCTTCACCAAGTAGCAGAATTTTGTTGACTATATTCATGAGTCTATCAACATATTCTTTGACTGACTCAGCTTCCTGCGTTCTCAGCATTTCAAACTCTCTCCTTAAGTTCAAAACTTGTATGTTTCTTGTTTTATCACTTCCCATAAACTCCTCCTTAAGGTTATTCCAAGCTTCTTTTGGTGTCTCACAAGCCATGAACCTTGTGAAGACTAAATCTGAAACAGCTGACTGAATGCAAGACAAGGCTCTAGGAGCTTTGGCTGTTTCTTCTTCATGTAGCCTGCTCTGATTCAAGGTGGGGTTTGGTCCCAATTGAGGTGGATGTCTCTCTTCTACCACATATTGCCACAAACCATGCCCTCTCAGGTAAGTTTTCATTTTGACAGCCCAAAGTGGTATTGTTCATCATTAAAAACAGGAGGAGGAGGGAGAGAGATCATGTTTGAGGCCATTAGAAGAAAGTTTGATTGCCAAATATTGCTTGATTTCAAGCACAAATACAATAGAGAAAGAGATGAATGACCAAAGCTCCACAAGTCCTCCAAGATCTCGGTGGAGGCTCTATTGCTCTAATACCATTTGTAGTTTTTGAGCTGGAGAATACAAAGAAAACAAATGAAACAATTGCTTTTTAGAGAGAAGTTTTTGCTGAATGTTAAGCTACTTTTTTATTGAAAATGGATTCAACTTATACAAAAGGTTTAAGACACTGTCCACCTAAACTTGGAGTGAATATTTTACTAACAATAATTCACCACCACACAATTTTAACCGCATACAAACCTTACATTTAACTACCCCTTAATTACAGCTGAATACCCTGCTGAATACATCAAAAAACATCAGTTTAGACATCACAAAATCAGCTCCATTCAACTGCTCCCAAGGCTAGCTGTTGTGCTTCTCGTCTTTGGCTTCTTTGCATCTTCGGTCAACAAACTTCAGCTGACTTTGTTTCTAGCAAAATATCATCAGCTTCAACATATATGAAGAGTCTAATTTCACCAAATGTTGCTGTTGATGATGAAGCAATCAGGCTAAATCAAGCAGAGGATGTAGAAGAAAAGGGGTAAGATTCCAGTGAAGAGGTAAGGGAAACTATATATCATACTCGCATATTTATTTATTTTTCCTTTCTATAAATGTTTCCTCATTGTTTTTCAATATCTTATCATATAGGTTCAACTCAAGAAAAAAGGTAAGAAGCTTGAATAATACATGTTGAAGGTATCGGCAAATGCGGCAAGTTTTGGAAGAAGAAAATGTTAATTACATCTCATGTACCTGAACATCTTTCCATGGTTCTTTAAGTTTCTTTTTTCGGCTTGGTATGTATTACTGATTCCAGGAGAACTGCAGAACTTCAAATAGCCAGAAATTCTGAAATTAAACTGGAAATATACATCAGCATTGGAAGCAAATCTGAAGTACCATTACATGAAGGAGAAACATAGGCATATTGTTGGTTTGATTAAGAATTTAAAGTCAGTGTATTGTAATGAGTGATTAAAGTGGTTCGGTAATTTCCAATGTATCATGCATTTACCTTGTAAGTTGTCGCTGCTTTGAGATATGCAAAAATTTATTCATGTACAAGAATAATGATAGATGATATATGAAACTAGCAATAATCTTTTCTAGTCCATTGACAGTGCACTTATCCAGCCATACCTGTTTGAGGTTTCCCTAGTGCATTACCAGGAGACGTGTTTCAGTCACCCGCTTCGTTTCTTAATAGTTCTATATATATCTCTGTATGCATCTGTAGTTCTTACTGGGATGAGCATAACCGTGCTTTAAAGTTGAAAATGTTGTTCTTGCATACACCACGCAATCTGTATTCTGGAAAGGAGTACTCAATGCAGCTCAAATGAGTAGTATTCAAATGATCTCACTGATACATGATGCTAGATAAACATAATTACATAATTTTACTGCCAATCTCAGTGATCCAACTGAGGGTAACGCTAGCAAAATAAGGTAGTATTGATTCAAAGATACTAAAATCTGAAGCAACTGAAGCTCATTAGATTGCAAGCTACTAACTCTAATGTCAGTTTCATGCTTTCATCTTTGTAAACAACTCGTTAGTGGCTCAGTGTCACACTTTTTTCAACTGGCACTAGCAAATTCACATTTCTCTTCATGGTAATTCTTCTTTTCCCTCAGAACTTACACTGTCCAACGTATCTTAATTATATAACATAAAGAAACTAAATAAACAATCAGAGTTTAAAAATACAAATTATCAAAAGAGAAACAGGGTTTGGTGTTGGAGAGACAAAGAGAACAGAAGTCTATGTCTACTTAAATTTTCCATAATACATTGTTTTTAAAATTTGGAGCAAGTAGGTAAGAACTTGGAGGAAGCTCCTTGGTGGAATCTTCACAAGTTGGTAAATGGAAATTTATATATTTCAATTTGCAATTCCTTAGGGTTGGATTTACTGAATAAACAATAAATTTGTATGAAGTACACTCCACAACGCCATCTATGAATATTTTACCCTGAACTAGAGTCAACTTCATTTGTATGAAGTACACTTCTTTTTTAAATTATGCATGCATTGATCAATTCAAGCATTACCAACTAGTCAGCCTAAAACTAAAATATATTAAAACAATAGCAGCTTACAAAGCAAGCACATTTCAAGGTATAAATTAAATCAACCTACCGAGTCCTTCATATTAATCTCATTAGCTGTTCTATACTTCACATTTACCTGAGCAAACAAAAAATCAAGCAGAAGAGCCATGCCAAAACTTCCTCGAGACATAATTGCAGATATACTTTCAAGGGTACCAATAAAGCATTTGATGCAGTTCAAGTGTGTATGCAAGGACTGGTATGCATTAGTCTCTGACCCTCAATATGCCAAAATGCAGCTCAAACAAGCAAGGGCAGACAACACAACTAACATGCATAAACTATTCCTCACAACCTGGCCGCTTCAGAGCATTGATTATGAAGCGTTTGGTGATGGTGTTAGCAGAAATCTATCACGGCAGTTCGCTTATCCAACGAGAAGTATATATGATGCAGAGATTCTAGGATCCTGTAATGGGTTGGTATGTTTAGAGTTTGATTATGACAACTTATTTTTGTTGAATCCAACCACTAGAGATTCCAGGGAATTGCCAAAGCCTGATAGTACTTCTACTGATGAGGATTCAGTCTTTTACGGGCTTGGTTACAATGTCTCTGTCGATGATTACAAAGTAGTGAAAGGTGTTATCTCTGCCGCTAGCAATGGTCCCAATTCCAGAGATGCTAAAGTTGAGGTTCTTAAACTGAAAACCAATACCTGGGGAAGGATTCAGTATCCACACTCGAGTATCAACATTGATGGACCAGGAATTCTTTTAAACGACACTGTGCATTGGCTAGGGACTTGAAAAAGTGATTCAGGTAACAATTATGTTTGTGCTATCATTTCATTTGATCTAACAGAAGAAAGATTTGAAGAGTTTGTGCCTTTAAAGGATTATATAGACCAGAACATTAATGGTCTAGATTTGAAAATTTCCGCAGACAAACTATCTTATTTTTTTCATCGTGAAGAAAATTATTTTGAGGCGTGGGAAATGAAAGAATATGGAGTAAAGGAGTCATGGACCAGATTGTTCAGTGTCTCAAGCGAAACATTTCCTTTTTATGAATATTCTCTCACTCCAGTAGGCTTCAGAGAAGATGGAGAATTATTGCTGGATTTTGATGGAAGGGAATTAGCTGTGCTCAACACCAAAGAAGAAACATTAAGAAATTTTCATAATTCTTGATGATGGGGATTGGTTTAAAGCAGTCATATATGAAGAGAGCCTAGTTTCACCTAATGTTATTGTTGATTATGAAGCAATCTGGCTAAACCAAGCAGAGGATGCAAATGGAAAGGGGGAAAATTCCACTGAAGAGGTAAGGGAAACTAACTATCATAATTGTAGCAGGCCAGGTCATATGCAATAAACTTAGTACAAATAATTATTACCAGGAACAGACGGTCAGACCACAGGCAATGTTGTACTCCGATAAGTCCACACTTTGTACCTGAGAAAATGTATTAACACTGGAGAGAAAATAATATGTATATTTATTGTGTACATAAGGTTTTGGTGTTTTATTAACTATTTTTACTTGTTTTTGCCTTTTTTCTTTTTTCTTTTTAATTTTTATAGAAGTTTCCTTATTGNCTATGTCGATGATTACAAAGTAGTGAGAGGTGTTATCTCTGCAGCTAGTAATGGTTCCAGTTCCAGAGATGCTAAAGTTGAGGTTCTTGAACTGAAAACCAATACCTGGAGAAGGATTCAGTATCCACACTCGAGTATCAACATTGATGGACGAGGAATTCTTTTAAACGGCACTCTGCATTGGCTAGGGACTCGAAAAAGTGATTCAGGTAACAATTATGTGTGTGTTATCATTTCATTTGATCTAACAGAAGAAAGATTTGAAGAGTTTGTGCCTTTAAAGGATTATATAGACCAGAACATTACTGGTCTAGATTTGAAAATTTCTGGAGACAAACTAGTCTTATTTTTTGATCGCGAAGAAAAATATTTTGAGGCATGGGAAATGAAAGAATATGGAGTAAAGGAATCATGGACCAGATTGTTCAGTGTCTCAAGCGAAACATTTCCTTTTTATGAATATTCTCTCACTGCAGTTGGCTTCAGAAAGGATGGAAAGTTATTGCTGGATTTTGATGGAAGGGAATTAGCCGTGCTCAACACCGAAGAAGAAACATTAAGAAAATTCATAATTCATGATGATTGGGATTGGTTTAAAGCAGGCATATATGAAGAGAGCCTAGTTTCACCTAATGTTATTGTTGATTATGAAGCACTCTGGTTAAACCAATCAGAGGATGCAAATGGAAAGGGGGAAAATTCCACTGAAGAGGTAAGGGAAACTAACTATCATAATTGTAGCAGGCCAGGTCATATGCAATACAACTTAGCATAAAAAGTTATTACCAGGAACAGACTGTCAGAAAACAGGCAATGTTGTACGCCGATTAGTCTACACTTTGTACCTCAGAAAATGTATTAATACTGGAGAAAAAATTATATGCTATTAATACTGGAGAAAAAATTATATGCATATTTATTCTGCAGGGGTGATTTAGGTTTACATAAACGTTTTGGTGTTTTATTAACTATTGTTACTTGTTTTTGCTTCTTTTTTTTTTCCCTATTTATAGGAGTTTCCTTATTGTTTTTTGATATCTTTTCATGTAGGTTCACTAATACATGTTGAAGGTATTGGCAAATGCAGCAAGTTTTGCAAGATAAAGAAAAAGCCAATTACATCTCCTATACCTGACTTTGCTTCCATAATTCTTAATTTGTTTTGTCAGGCTTGATATGTATGCTAATTCCAGAATAACTGCAGAACTTCAAATGGTCAGAATTTCTGAATATTGGTGGAATCAGAGTAAACGCAGAACTAAATAAAACTGGAAATATGCATCAACAAGTGAAAGCAAATCTGAAGTTGCCTTTACATCAAAGAGTAAAATTGGCATATTATTGGTTGGGTATAGAGTTTATTGTCAGTTTACTGAATTGAGTGATTAAATTGTCCAATCGATTTCCAATGTACCCTTATCTGTTGAACAAAGCCGTTGTGCTATTTTTGTCCTAGCCCCTGTTTATTGCTTTTATAAGAGATTACACTAAGGGTACGTTTGGATCAAATAATATATTATTATAGGGGAATGTTATATTAATGGAAAGATGAATCACCTTGAAGAGTACTGAAAATGTTTAGGAAAATGTGTTTAATTGATTGAAATAAATTGGTAAGTATGTTATATTTATATGTTTGGTTAGGAGGATAAATGAGTGGTCATCTTATATAGATTACTAAATTGTCCTTTTTTTTTTTTAATATTAATACAATATTATTTTTATTATTATTTTTTGAATTTTTTTAACCCTCTACATTTGAAATTTTGCTAAAACACCCCAGCCATATAGAACTTTAATTTGTAGCAAAATCACTCTCACCCACCCCAAGTCACTACTGGCAACCAACCATCGCCGCCGACAGTTGATGAAATCATGCACGACCTGCCATATATGGCCAGTCGTGCACCGAAAAAGTCCAATCATGGATTATAGATCCATAGTCGTTTCACAACCAAAGATATGGCCATGAAACGACTAGATCTGGGCATTTCCAACTGTGCACAGATCCATGGCGGAAACCCTAGTTAGTAAATTCGCGAATTATACGTCCACCCGTATAATTCACGTATTATTCACGAACAGCCGTATTTTATAAGCCCAGCCGTATTATTCGCGAATTATTCCCGTATCCGAATTTTTGCCGAATTTTTATAAACATATTTTTCACCATTTTCCGTATTATACCCGTAAAATTCCCGTACCCTTTTTTTGCCATACCCGTATATTTGAAATGTTATATAGATTTTAACCAAGTGGCCTATGAAAAGTGCTAAAACTAGGATTGATATTGCCGTATTTTTCAAAACGTATTATTGACAATGTGTCGTATTAAACTCGTATATACATGTATTGTATTTTTTCCGTATTCGAATTTTATGGCCGAATTTTTACAAACGTATTTTTCACCATTTGTCGTATCATACCCATAAAATTCTCGTACCGTTTTTTTGCCATACTCGTATTTACTAATTAGAGTGGAAACGGCCTTACTGGCGCATGACTGGCCAAATCCCGCCGATCGTGCATCATTACGGCGACTGTCGTCGGTGATTGGCGGTGGTCTTGGGTGGTTGAGGGTATTTTGTTAACTTTTAAACTTTTTTGTGGTTGGGGTGTTTTAGTAATTTCTCAAATATAGGGGGGTTGGGGGAATTGTTATTTGGTAGACATTTGAGGACAATTGTGTCTGAAATGGTATTTAATTAAAAGCAAAATAGGTATAAAAATCAAATTACCTCGATAATCTTTTTAATAACAGCCCCTAGGGAGAGTATTTGATTGTCCTCTACATTACCAACAGTAAACACTATTTGCAATAAAAGATACCCGTAATATTTTATTAATTGTAAATCAAACAATGGAGTCTTGCAAAATAAACAAAGATTACCCTCATTATCTTATATGACCCTGAACCAAACGCACCCAAAGTGTGAAAGTATTTCGCAAATAGTTAAACCCAATTTTCCTAATTTTGAAGGACAAAATTGCTCTCATTCATATTTCTTTAGCTTCTTCTTAAAAACCCATTTAACACATTCTCCATAACTATAATTCCTATCAAATCACTAAATTTTTTTTTTTAATTATCTAAAGGCGATATTGTATGATTTTTTTTTTTTTTTCTAAATCTTGGGTGATTAAAATATTGACAAAAGATATGTTAGTTTAACTGAGATCTTTCATAAAAAAAAAAAAAAAACCATTGCAAAGAGGTATTTATAAAAAAAAAAATTACGAAAAAAAAGTGAAGACGAGAAGTGACTGATAGAAGGGTCTCAATCGCCAATAGGACTTACAAGAGGAATCTGTAATTTTCCTATTAGTAACCGATAGGGGGTTATCGGTCACCGATAGGACCCATAGGGGGTATTGAATGTACCATAAATTATAGAAAATAATAATAATAATAATATAGAGGAATTGAAAGGGTACTTAGAAGATTATTTATTCACCTTGAAAACATTGCCTAATTTTTTAAAAGTATTAAAAACCCTTGACATATGAGTTTAATTATCAACCTCTGAGTTTATTTCATATACTCTTTTATGAGATTGTTTAATATAACAATCTCAAGCTTTTCGAAAATCATCAATAACCCCCTATAATTGTTGAATACTTTCTTGTTGTATAATAATTAACTTAGATAAAAGAATAAATTAACGAATAAAATACAGAATAGACAAAATAAGAGAATTGAGAACTCTAGGACTTACTTGATATTGCTCAAAGCCTCTCAAATTTTGGATTGATTGCAATGAAAGGGATCGCCGGGGGGTGCTGTATGGGATATTTATTGCCATCACACCCCTCACTTTCACCGCCTCAATAACAAAAGCGGTGGATGGCCCCTTGGACATCCACCGTTTACATATAAGTGTATTTAACCTTACTCAAGAAAAACTCAGTGGGAAACAAACCTAAGTAAAGAAACACAAGTCTATAATGAAACTGCAATGTGAAGTTAGACGTGCTTCATACTACCTCATTAAAAACTTTGTTAGGAAAACCCAGTGGGACAAAATCTGATCAAGGAAAAAAGAGTACAATGCATATATGTCCAGTACAATAAACTGTTCTGGAAACTCCCCCTAATCGCTACTCCTCTTGATCAATGCTCTCCCTCATAATGGCAAGATTAATTTAGTAACTTATTAAGCTGCAACATGTCAATGCCATACACTAACTTTTCAAATGTTGATGTCGGTAAAACCTTAGTGAATAAATCTGCAAGATTATAACTAAAGCGTAGTTGTTTGACATTAATCTCTCAATTTTGTTGGAGTTCGTGAGTGTAAAAGAACTCCGGTGAAATACGCTTGGTTCTGTCTCCTTTGATATGTCCTCCATTGACTGAAGCAATACATGCTGTATTGTCTTCATTTATAATTGTGGGAGAATCTGAAGTACTTGGAAATTTTCATGTACTTTCAATATGATAGATGACAGATCTTAACCATACGCATTCTCAGTTGGCTTCATGAAGTGCAAGAATCTCAGAGTGATTTGAGGAAGTGGCAACCAATGTTTGTTTTGTGGAATGCCATGATATTGCAGTACCATTGTAAGTGAAAACATATCATGTCTGTGAGCGGGCTTTATGAGGGTTAAAAAGGTACCCAACATCTGTATGACTAACTAATTTAGGATCATTAACAGATTTCTTTGGATAAAATAATCCCAAGTCTTTTGTTCCACTGAGGTAACGACAGACATGTTTGGCCCCATTCCAATGTCAACGAGTTGATGCAAAGCTAAATCTTGCCAACAGATTTACTGAAAATGTTATGTCCGGTCTTATACATTGTGCCAAATATAATAATGCACCTATAGCATTTAGATACAGTACTTCAGGACCAAGTATCTTTTCGTCGTCATCTTTAGGAGGAAATTGATCCTTTTTAGATTCAAGAGATCAAACTACCATTGGGTTACTCAATGGGTGAGATTTATCCATATTCAATTGCTTAAGGATATTCTCAGTATAATTTGATTGATGGAGCAAAACTGCATCTGAACAATCTTGATTTGTAGGTCGAGACAATACTTTGTTTTCCCTAGATCCTTCATTTCAAATTCTCTTTTTAAGTACTTCGCAACTTTTGTGAGCTCTTTAGGAGTCCCTATTATGTTCATGTTATCGACATATATTGCCATAATTGCAAATCTTGATTCTAACCTTTTTATAAAAACATAGGCATACAAGTTCATTGATATATCCTTCCTTCATCTGATATTCACTGAGACGATTATACCACATTTGTCCTGATTGCTTCAACCCATATAACAATATTTGCAATTTTATTGAATACATGTTCTTTTTATTTGCTTATGGCACTTTGAATCCTTCAGGTATTTTTATATAGATATCAGTATCTAGTGTCTCATACAAATATGCAATGACAACGCCCATGAGACACATATCATGTCCTTTTGAGACTGATAAACTAATCAAGTATCAAAATATGATAGCATCCATCACTGGTGAATACATCTCATTAAAGTCAATTCCAAGTCTCTATAGGAAACCTTGAGCCACTAGTCTGGCATTATACTTAGCAATCTCATTTTTCTCATTTTGTTTCCTTGTGAATACCCATTTGTATTTTACGGGTTTCATGTTTTCAGGCGTTTGGACTACATGTCCAAATACATTACATTTTGCTATGGAGGTTAGTTTTGCTTGAATTGCCCCTTCCCATTTTGGCCAATAATGTCTCTTTCGACATTTATCAACAGAACGTGGCTCAAACTCATCATTCATAATTTCAGTAGCTACTGCGTATGAGAATATGTTATCGACAATAGTTGTCTCACGATTCCACATTTTTTTACTATGAGCATAGTTTA